AACTCCCAGGTATTTGTGAAGGGTAGGAGGGAGGTGGTGAGCTTGCCAAGTTAAATGCAGGTGAAAATCACACTGCTTTGCCTACCCAAGAACTTCACAGTCCATCAGCCAGCCTGATTTAGAAAAAGGACCTATTTTTACTTAGGCTTTTCAGTAAGGATGTGGTCTCTAAAGACCCACTTCACAGGAACCCTCCCTTTAACAATCACCTAATTAATAGCCTTGTTATCTGTCAGCTTTCTCCTGTCTGCTGCACAGCTTCTGGGGGAGGGATACAGCCAAAGAATGACAAAGTTTTCCACCCTTCTCACCCCCACCCTTATGCTGGGCTTCCTGCCATCCCCAATTAAGCTCCAGTGCCTTGCTTGGTGTTATCTTAGAAAGCAGGACCAAAGGGCCACCGAGAGTCACCGTTCCCTCCCTGCCCCTCTATTGCACTGACAGATGTCTGGCCTGGTAACAGCACCGACCTATCTCCATCAGGGGTTTTTTTTACTGACTGGGGATTAAATCACTGTAGTTTTTAAGCCAAGTAAGAAAAAGACAATGCTATGGATTGTCACCGGCGCTGACAGGAAGGAGCATGGACTGGGATGTGCTTTCCTGACCTCCTTCAGTGCTGAAAAGCTTCTTTATTTAGATTTGTTCTTCCTAAGAAACTGCCTCTTCCTGTGGTGGTGGAGCACGTATGTAGTAAACACGTGTAGGTGGAAACCTGTAGGTAACAGAGAGGATGTCCCATGTTCTCCACAGAGGTCCCAGTTGTAGGATGCCCCAAAGCTGGTTAGAAAGAAGATAGAAGATCTAAGCCAAAGTGAAACTGTTTTAGGATTATTGGCTATTCCATTAACTCCTTTTAATTTCTGATTTTCAGCCTCATTTCCCCATAGAGTTCATAGAATCACAGACTGGTTTGGATTGGAAGGGACCTTAAAGCTCATCCAGTTCCAACCCCCCTGCCAGCAGCAGGGACACCTTCCACTAGACCAGGTTGCTCAAAGCCTCATCCAGCCTGGCCTTCAACACTTCCAGGGAGGAGCAGCCACAACTTCCTTGGGCAACCTGTTCCAGTGTCTGACCACCCTCACAGTGAAGAACTTCTTCCTAATATCTAATCTAAACCTCCTCTCTTTCAGTTTAAACCCATTTCCCCTTGTTTTGTCATTAACTGCCCTTATGAAAAGTCCTTCCCCAGCTTTCTTGTAGCCCCTTCAGGTACTGGGAGGCCACTAGAAGGTCTCCCCGGAACCTTCTCTTCTCCAGGCTGAACAGCCCCAACTCTCTCAGCCTGTCCTCACAGCAGAGCTGCTCCAGCCCTCGCATCATCCTGGTGGCTTCCTCTGGACTTGTTCCAGCTGCTCCAGGTCTCTCTTGTGATGAGGGCTCCAGAACTGGACGCAGTATTCCAGGGTTGTATGTAAACCCTCAGAATTTGGGTTGGAAATCTGCATAAAATGAATATTCACTTGAGATGCTCTGTGTCTTTTGCTTCTGCTGCTGCTGGCTCTTGCAGACAGGCTTCTAGGGCCAATTATTCTGCCCAAACCCAGTGGAGCTTTAGAGTGAGAAATGATTAGGGCATTGTGCTGGGATGTGAGTTTGCTGGTGGTAGGAGCTGGGATTTGATGCAGTCTGTCCTTATTTTTTAATTCCTGCTTGTATCAGGTCTGTGATGATAGGAAAGGGAGATCAGGCTGGACTGTATGTGGTGTAACTCTCCTTGCTGGTGGGCATGATGCTCTCAGTTTGGATGCATGGATGTTGAACCAGAAAATCAGCAGAATCATTCAGGTGGTTCTTGATTCTACCTTTCACCAGGCTCTTTGAAATAAAACCCACTTGAATGGTCACAACAACCCTTCTGTCATCACATCATGATGAAATGATTGAAGGGGAATGTGTTTTCAGATCTCACAAATGCCTGTCCCCAGTGACTTACTTCAGAGGTCCCAGTGATTTCAGAGGTCCCAGCGACTTCAGAGGTGGTCCCATGAGCACAATGATGCTGTTTCCCACCTGGGAAACAAAGCCCAGGTAATTCCAACTCCAGACAGTACAATTCTGCTCCTACTTCATTATAAACCTACCTTAAATAGGACTTGTAGTGAACTTCTTCCATAGTTTCATATATGGGATTTGCTTGCTGCATGTGTACATTAAAAAAATACATTTCAAGCATCTTTTAGATTCTTTTATTGGGACAGTGTATCTCTTAATGCAGGACTTGCTGTTTCTCCTTTTGCTTCTTGCCCACAACAGCTTTGCCTTCTATTCTTCATCAAATGATTCAGCACCTCGAAGAAGAGAAAAGCAAAGAAATAATAAGGATTCTGAGAAAAGAATAATAAATCCTGGTGGTGATTGTACTTACCTGCTATCTGATCGATGGGACAACCTGTATAGGAAAGACTTTTGATGTTTACAGGACAGAGAGCTGTGGATTTCTGCTCTTTTCTCTGGGCAATGAAGAATACAATGGTTAATAAAAACATACCCATGGCTCACTTATCCTTTTGGCCAAATGGTAGCTGGGTTTTAACACAGCTTTGCTTGTCTTGTGAATGTGTTATCTGCTTATAGTGTGCAATCGGCTTATGAAAGCTGAGCTGCGTTGTGCTGACACAAGGTCTATGCAGCTTGTACTTGCTGGAAGTGGTTTGGGCCTCAGAAATCAGTGAACTTGTGAACCGTGAGATGTTGAAACTGCCAAAGGGCTTTTGGCATTGGGGAACTAAGAAGACACTGTTTTCTTTCCTTTGCTGGAAGCCTTCGTGCCATATAGGGCCTTGATCTCTACCTTTCTTGTCTGGAAATCTCCTTGGAAAGGCTGTGTCCCAGTTCTCTTCTGTATTCAGCAGTTCCACTCATTTTTCTTGTGATTACTTCTCTGTTTTTGTAGCTTATTTCCCCCTTTTTTTAATTCTTTATTTTTTTCTTAACTTTCTTCCTTATCCCTTACTTGTCCTTATCTACTCTTCTTCCTCCATTCACTCACAGACCTGTTCTCTCTTGTTCCTATCACTGCCATGCATTTTCCATCACTACCTCCCCTTCCTCTATTTTACCTCCTCAAATTCACTTTACACCCACAACCTAAGAGAAAATTAAGCTTCTGGGGAGCTTTGGGAGGGGAAAAAACTAAAACATGGCGAATTAGCCATATCAGCAGAGGATGAGAAGCCTTTGAAGGATGCCACAGTTCTGCCAGCTTCCTACCAGGCGTTTACTTTTGAGTTGAACTCCTCACTATTTCTGAATAATCTGGTTCCAAAAAAGGATTGTAAGTTGTAATCAAACCATCACTGACAGGAAAAACTCACCAAGCAGGGATCTTGCCTCTCTGCTCTGTGCATCTCTGTGCCACGATACAAACGAGACGGTGACTCGTTCTGGATAAATAAGTCATTCATGGGATGAGCTGCACTTTTGGGAGGCATCTTTTAAAAGCTTTCCTGTGTTACAAGATTCCCCTTAAGTTTTTCCATGGAAATGAAGGGCCATGATTCAACTGCAGGCTCTTTGACAGTAATCCAGATAGAAGCACCGATTACTCCAGACAGCTACAAGCAGATGGCCAAGGTGGATGGTTGTTTTCTTGCTTTTAAGTCACTTGTACAGGTTAAAAAAAGTGCCAGGAAGATCTCCTTCAAAGAAGAACAATTTCTTAGAAAGGGAATTTTTTTGTGGGTCAACCTCAGGCTGGCTCCTGGTGGAGAGTTACTAGAGATGTCCTTGTTTTCCATGGATCTGTACCTGTCTTGTGCTGAACAAGTAAAACGTGTGCATACAAAATTCCTTTGCTAAGCCTGTCTTGGTTGCTTCCTGTTTTTCAGAGGACAACAGAAAAAATAACTATGAATTCCCCCACCTGGTGGCTTCCTGGGTATTATTGCTAAATAATGGGGAGGGTGGAAGGGCTGGTTCCAGGTTATGGGCGCTGCAACCTGGGATTGCACCTGAGACACTGAAGTGTGGGAGAAGAGCTGGTGCTTTAGTGTCAGATGTGAGGGAGAATGGAGTTCACTCCCAGTAGACTTTGGATGGAGACTGGGGCCAAGTCATAGAATCATAGAATGGGTTGGGTTGGAAGGGACCTTAAAGCTCATCCAGTTCCAACCCCCCTGCCAGCAGCAGGGACACCTTCCACTAGACCAGGTTGCTCAAAGCCTCATCCAACCTGGCCTTCAACACTTCCAGGGAGGAGCATCCACAACTTCCTTGGGCAACCTGTTCCAGTGTCTGACCACCCTCACAGTGAAGAACTTCTTCCTAATATCTCATTTAAACCTCCCCTCTTTCAGCTTAAACCCATTTCCCCTTGTTCTGTCATTAACTGCCCTTATGAAAAGTCCTTCCCCAGTCAGGCTGTGACATTGCACAGCAGAGCTAGAAATTACACGTAGCAAACCCAAACCTGTTCTGCAGAGGTTCTCTGCCATCTGCACTTGGCTTATGGATCCAGCTGCAGCATCTGAAGAGCTGGTTGAACAACAGGCTTTAGCTAGTGAAAATGGCAGGTCTTCTGCAAGTGATACAACAGACATGCCTGAATTAAAAAATAACTTAATAGTAAGTTAATAGTAACTTAATGACTTAATAGTAACTAGGTTATTGCAGGTGAGTAAGGGTGGTTATCTTTGCCTGGAGGGAAGTGTTGAAGTGTTGCTTCCTGCCTTCTAACCAGCCTAGCTGTGGGTGCAACTTGATGTTGTACAACAAACTGCCAAAGCTGATCTGAGGGTGACAGAGCCCTGGGACAGGCTGCCCAGGGAGGTTGTGGAGTCTCTTTCTCTGGAGACATTCAATACCTGCCTGGACACCTTCCTGTGTGATCTCATTTAGGTTCCTGCTCTGGCAGGGGGGTTGGACTGGATGATCTTTCGAGGTCCCTTCCAATCCCTGACATTCTGTGATTCTGTGATCTCTAAAGTTGGCGAGAGAAGATCTGAATGTGCTGGGTTTGGATGGAGAAAAAGGTATTCTTGCTGTGAATCACATTGTCCATCTTTCTGTCCTCTCTCTGGCAGGTCTATAACCTGACTCAGGAATTCTTCCAACGAGGTAAACCAGTCAATGCTGAGAGCCAGAATAGTGTGGGCGTCTTCACACGGGACGTAGTGCGCAAACGTGTCAAGGCCGATCCGGATGACACAGAGGCCGTCAAGAGGCTGAAACTAGCCATGATCCAGCAGTACCTTAAGGTGTGTGTGCACATCATTGTTTCTTTATTTGTTTGTTTTAACTAAGAGCAGACAAATCTTGAACCTCAGACAGACACCCGGCTAAGCCTTGCCCGTGGCTGGGGAATTGCTTTCTGTGGTCTCTTGCAGCTAGGGCAGTTTGTGTTTATACTGATAACTTTTTCTCCTGAGGTGTATCCAAAGACAGGGAGCTGCAAGAAATAATGCCTTTACTCTTTTTATTGCTTGTTTCTTTTGTTTTTTTCCCCCTTACCTCAGACTTCCAGCTTTCTAATTAAAGGGGCTTTCCCAGACTGTTAAATTTCCTGATTTAACATTTTCTTACCACCTGAAGCTAAGCTATTGTCAGGTTCTTTTAGTCATGTCTCATCCTGTGCCTTACACCTGGCACCCTCTAATCCTGCCTGAGTGTCTTTTACCCTCTTCTGCCTCTGTCCATATCTCAGAGACCAGAAGAAAAGTAACTTTGATAGTAGTAATTTGCTGAAGAAATCCCTAGAAAGCATTTTGAAGGTAAAGCAATAAAATCAAAGGTAGATTGTATAAACCCATGTCCTAATCATCTTTCCTCACAGCTTCCCTAGTCCTTTTTATCTCCTTGATGCCTTGGCCTAAATGAGATCTCTGAGGGATGAGGACATAATGCTGCATTGAGCACTCCACAAGTAAAGTGTAATAGTCCTTTCTATTTCGATTATAATGACTTAAAGGCTTGTTAAATGAGGTAGGGAAGGCAAGCAGCACTCTGTTTCAGCTTCCCACCTATAAATAGTGAATACCATATACTTCCCTGCATCACAAAGAGAAATAAAGACCTAAAGACTCTCCCAGGAGATCTGTGATAAAGCTGAGATTTGAACCCAGGCGTCCTGAGCGCTGTTCTGATATCTCAGTGTCCTAACCCAAGAGCTTGTATCACAGGGTGTCTCCACAGCTGCCACGTAAAGACTAGTTATTTATTGTGTTATCCACCTAACACCACCCATGCAGACAGTGTTAATCATTTGATACAGCTCTGTTTTTTCTGGTGGTTACTTCTCTGGTTGCTACAGCCAGAGACTTTTCTGCAACTCTTGCAAATCCCTTCTGATGTGTAAATACCTGTGAGCAACAAAGCTTCTGATAATTAAGACTATCAGATCAGAGTGGTTGCTGAGAGAGTGGGGATTAACTGATGTCTCAGGCAAACCATAGCCTTGGTAGTTGCCTGTTTTTCTCCCTGTCGTTTTTTTCCTTTGTGGCTGAAAGAATCCAACAGCCTGTTTGTCACTGTTGTTATCTTCATAATGAGTGTCCTGTTGGAGCATCCAGGCAGGATGAGCAGCCTGTTGCATGACCCAGGGTGCAGGGTTGTTATTGTGGGCCAGCAGAACTGACCTTGGGTGAGTGTTGGAGAATGCTGGCTCAGCCATCAGATGGAGTCTCAGAGAATAGCTCTTCTCAGGACCTATCTGCTGGTGACCTGGTCAGCTCAGTCTTCACTAGAGTCATGGGGCAATGACCAGGAAGGGGCAACCACCTGTTGGTAATACAGTCACAGGAGCAGCCTGTGAACTGCTTAATACAATTTTAGCTTGTTTGTTTGGCATCTTAGCCCAGCACAGAGATTCCTGCCCTGCACCAGGATGCTCCACAGGGAAAGGGTCTGACTTGCCAGGCTTCCAAACATGGTTATTAAAGTGTGGAAAGGCCTGGAAACTTGGCCAAAGGCTAAGGAATTGTAATGTTCCCTTTGCCTGAAATGCTTAAAGAATTAAAATGTGCGAATCATTGTGATTCTGGTGATTTGAAGATTTTAAGATCACTGTGTCCCATGCACCAGTATTATCATTAGAAACTTATCACAAGACAGGCCAAACATCCTGCCTTTGTTCCAGGGGTTGTTGGAAGCTACAGCTGTGCCTAATATTCCTACAAACATTAACCAAGATCCCAATTCTAAAGCTTTGATAATCACATCAGGTGAATCAAGGGCAAGTGTCTCACATCTTGGCATCTCCCTTTTCTGTCTCCTTCCGTTCCTTCTGTGTTGGGTCCTCTCACCTCCTGCAGATTGTTAGCTGGTGGATTGCTGATGGTTTGACAGCATGTTGAAAGCTGCAGACAGCAGAAATAGCTGCCAAAAGTTTTTCATGGCTCCTCATGGGAACATTTATTAACATTGGAAAGAGCATCTGATTAACATAGCTCCAGCTTTGGTTGTAGGAACACCAAGCAGCCAGTGTTCTGCTGTAGGAACACCAAGCCACCAACACTGTCCCTTGCCAGTGAAGTGGGTTTTAAATGATAGAAAACAGATCTGTAACCCAGAATCATGCAGAAGCAGAGACATCATCTCTCAACTCTGGATGATGCAACCGTGGCTGATGCAACCAAACCTGATGCAGCTTGTTACCTTGACAGAATGGTTTCTCTGGTTGGAAGGAAGGCTAAGGGTTGATTTTGTCAGATCCTATGGCCAAACACTTCTTTACTAGCAAAAATAATGTAGTTTAAGAGTGGGATTCAGGACTCCTAGCTTGTGCAGCTGGTCTGTACCCTCACAAGACGTTGTGCTGTGGCAAAATGAGTTGCTCTGTGGCAATGTTGCTTTTGTGTTGCTTTTCTTCAGGTAGAGAGTTGTGAGAGCAGCTCCCACAGCATGGATGAAGTCTCGCTCAGTGAATTTGGAGAATGGACCGAAATCCCTGGGGCTCATCACATCATTCCTTGTGGTTTCATTAAAATCGTGGAGATTTTGGCCCGCTCCATTCCCGAGTCTGTCATTCAGCTCCGCAAACCGGTCAAGTGCATCCACTGGAACCAATCGGTCAGCAAGGAGATTGAGAGGGTGGCTGACCACAACAGTGACCTCCCCGAGGAGGGCAAGGGCTCTGATGTCTTTGTAGAGTGCGAGGACTGTGAGTTCATCCCAGCTGACCACGTCATTGTGACCGTGTCCCTGGGAGTCTTGAAGAAACGTCATGAGAGCCTCTTTCATCCCCGCTTGCCCGAGGAGAAGGTGATGGCCATTGAGAAACTAGGAATCAATACGACTGACAAGATTTTCCTGGAGTTTGAAGAGCCTTTCTGGAGCTCTGAATGCAACAGCATCCAGTTTGTCTGGGAAGATGAGGCAGAGAGTGAGAGCTTGACGTATCCTGAGGAGCTGTGGTACAAGAAGATCTGCGGCTTCGATGTACTCTACCCACCAGAGAGGTACGGCCATGTCCTGAGTGGCTGGATCTGTGGAGAAGAGGCTTTGATTATGGAGAAGTGCGATGATGAAACTGTGGCAGAAACCTGCACCGAAATGCTACGTAAATTTACAGGTCAGCCATGCTCTGGTTCCTTTGGGGAGTGGAGAAAAGAGGGAGAGTGAGGCTGGAGTGTTGAGGAAGCGCTAGGAAGGAAATGCACTCAAGTAATTTTTAGTTCTTTGGCATTTTATGTCCCTTTGAATGGGCCGTGCGTGTGCTTCCAGCCTACCTCCTGCTTGGGTGTGCCTGCAAGCTATTTATACAGAGGGGCTGATAACCAGCTCAGGAAGTAGTGGGCAGAAGTGCTTGAGGATTCTACATCCTCTGCTTTATTTAATCACAAATAACTCTTCAGCAGCTGGAGCTGTCAGACTCAGTACTCCTGAGGACTGATCACAGCCGTGAAAACCACAGAATCCCAGAATTGCTTTGGTTGGAAAAGACCCTTAAGATCATCGAGTCCAACCATGAACCCAACACTGACAAGTCCCCAACTAACCCATGTCCCTCAGCACTGTGTCTACACGACTCTTCAATCCCTCCAGGGATGGGGACTCCACCACTGCCCTGGGCAACCCCTTCCAATGCCTGACAACCCTTGCAGCAAAGAAATTCTTCCTCACATCCCATCTCAACTGCCCTTGGTGCAACTTGAGGCCATTTCCTCTTGTCCTGTCCCTTGGTCCTTGGTTGAACAGACCCACCCCCACCTCTCTCCACCCTCCTTTCAGGGACTTGGACAGAGCCACAAGGTCTCCCCTCAGCCTCCTTTTCTCCAGGCTCAACAACCCCAGTTCCCTCAGCCGGGAACTCATCACACTTGTGTTCCAGACCCTTCATGCTGCTTCAAAGAGCAGCGTAGCTCCTTTAGAGACAGTGGAGTTGAACCTGTTTAGATCAGTTGAGATGTGGTGGTTGAATCACATCCCTGACTTCCATTCGACATGAGACTATGTGGAAATCTCATTGGCCTGAATTGCCAAGTTCCCATTTCTGGGTGGTTCACCTAAACCTTTCTGGACTTCACAGACTGCACATTTACTGAGCACACATCACATTCAAGGCAGCAGTTGGAGCAAGACAGATCTTAGGTGTTTTAGGCTGGGAAAATCCAAGATTAAATCACTAAAAGTAGCAATATTTGAACACGCTGGGCCTTAGTTTGTCTGCAGTCACTTCTCTGGACGTTGCACACCTTCCCCAGGAAAGGGGTTTTTGTATCTACAGTTATTTGAGATCCTCTGATGGAAGACACTGTACAAGTGCAAGCGTAAGGTAGTGACGCTGAAAGAAGCAGTGATTGACTCATTGGCAGTCTTGAAATAAGGATTTTGGATATATACAGAATTATAAGAGCATCATCCTCCAAAATAAGGTGTATTATACACTGTTCTAGAGATAGGTCCCACCATTAGGCTATTTGTATCTGCCTGTGTTAGCCTAATCTCAACACCCAGTGGGTTTCCAGCCTTTCCTCTTGTCCATGGACCTCCAATTAACTGAAGAAATTGGCCTTCACAAGTGTAGCTTTCTCCTGTGCTTCCATACCATTTGCTACCACCAACACAGAGATCTAGGGAAAGGGTCCTGGAAGCTGAGGACTATCTGCATAACTGCCTACTACCAAAAGGGGCTTTACCTTTTACTACTCTCTTCAGAAATGGTTGGGTAGACACTGGATTCTGGTACCTGAAGGGGCTCCAGGAAGGCTGGGGAGAGACTTTGGGCAAGGGCAGGGAGTGAGAGAACAAGGGGTGATGGCTTGAAAGTGGCAGAGGGGAGATGGAGCTGAGATGTGAGGAAGAAATTGTTTGGTGTGAGGGTGGTGAGACAGTGTCCCAGGTTGGCCAGAGAAGCTGTGGCTGCTCCTCCCTGGAAGTGTTGGTGGCCAGGTTGGATGAGGCTTTGAGCAACCTGGTCTAGTGGAAGGTGTCCCTGCTGCTGGCAGGGGGGTTGGTACTGGATGAGCTTTAAGGTCCCTTCCAACCCAAACCAGTCTGTGACTCAGAAACCATAATGCAGTGACCAGACCTGAAGCCTTTTTTCATCTTGATCATTTCTGTTGGATGATGAACCTGTGGCTCCCCAGCACCCTGCAGAGAAATAGGATGAATCAGTGAATGCTCAACTCGGGGCAGCTTCTGCCTCCTGAGCTGTTTGTTTTCAGTGGTGTTGGGTATCCCCACGTTACGTTGCAGTGTCAGTACATACACAGCCTTCTTTCCTCCTGACCTCAGCAGGCCAACTGCTGCCCTACGCCAGCACAGCAGGAGGCTCTTCTCTCCAAGGCCAAGTTGTTTTAGTGCTGACGTCTCCCAGAGCATGTAAACAACCTTGTTCATTGCAGCTTTTCTTGCTTAAGTCTCTTTTTTTTTTTCCTAAGACACCTCGATTCATAGTGGGAATTTGGCTCTTAGGGTCTTTCTTAGTTTGGCAGATGAGATTATACTTTCTCTTTTCCTTCTTGGGCTCCTTCACTGTTGTTATTGTTTGCATGTGTTGGATGTTCCTCTCTTCCTCCCAGGATGGAAATATGTTGGCACAGGGTCATGGCTATGTGCTGCAGTTGCTGTTCCAGCTGATACTGCACCTGCTCACTGTCCATCAGACTCTTCAGCAGTGTGAGCTCTATCTCAGCCTTCTGCTAATCCTGGGTTATCTAACCCTGGAGAATTTCAGACTGGATTTACCAGGTCCTTGCCTTGCAATGAACATTTTGTACATAAGCTGAGAGGTCACCTCTCAGCAGCTTGAAACTGTGAGTAGAAAACCTGGCCTTGTAGCTCCCGTTAGGCAATGTGACCTCTTCCACTTTCTGCCCAAAAAACTTGTTCCTTTGTAGAAAAATTTTTCACAGATCTCCAGGGTGGCCTTGCTAATGGAGGTGGGTTTGTCCTGTTACCCTTGCTCCCATTTTTCACTCATCTGTTTCATCAGAAGTGTGACAATGGGTTAGACCAGCTAGGAGGTGGTTGGAGGGGTACAAAGTAGCCTCCTGCCTGTGATCTAACTGTAGTCATTTCTGAAAATGACTGGTCTCCTCTGGTCCAATTAGCACCACCAAACCCAGCTTTTAAAGTGTTTCCTACTACCCAACTGCATGCAAGTCAGCTAACTGAGCTGGGAAACTCGTCTTCCTGGGGGCCTAAGCTCGTGGAAAGAAAGAAAGACTCTTTGGTAAGGCGGTTCAGATCTTCCCCATCTCACTTGGTGCTCTGTGACATCTTCTGAAGAACCTTTTCTCTGCTGAGTACAGAGAGAGCCTTATATTCAGTAATGAACATAGGCAGTGTGAGCCTTTTGATGTTCACTTTGCCTTTTGTAGCTTTCATCTTCTGGGTATAAAATCCCCCACGTTCTCACTTCTTACTCTTCTGTTAAAGAATTAATGCGTTACCAGGTGGGTTCCCATCTTCAACTGTGCTTTCCCAGTCATGGAGGCCTTTGCTTTGACTTCAGAGGGTGTTAGACCAGTTCTGTGTTACATCCATCCTTTTACACTCACACTGAGAATTTCTCTCTGAGAGGTGACCTTGAATTTCCCATGCAGGTTAGTGTTGTGGATTGTCTGGCTTTGCTGTGAAAAGCTCTGAGGATTGTTCTACCCTAAGAACCGTTGACAATTACTGCTTTTCACAACTGGATGGCTGAGAAGCAGTGTCCTCTAAAGCTGATTAAATGGGATGCCTTTGAACAATTAGAAGTCTTTTTCTTCTGAAAAACTCACTGATTTGTCAAGCTGTGGCTGGAGATGCCCTGAGTTGTCCTCCCATCCTCCAGCTGTTTCTCTAGAGGGGAACAGAGCTCTTTTAGGTTCTGTGTGGTATCTGCCAGCCCTTTGCAGATGTCTGAGACATCCTAATCACAGAATCACAGAATGGTTTGGGTTGGAAGGGATCTTAAAGATGACGTAGTTCCAACCCCCCTGCTGTGGACAGGGT